AGAAAATAAAAATTATTGTCTTCATGTGCACTTTTTTATTTTAAAGCAAACTTCTTTTTTTTTTGAATTAACAAACAATAAGGAAATGAAAAAGAAAAGAACAAAGAAAAAAAATTCATTTTATTAAATTACCTTATTTTTGGTTTACCACAACCACCACAACAACAACCAAAACATGCAAGTGATGGTCTAATTGATATTATGCATAATAATACAATTACCTGAAATTACAGTATGAAAAAAAAAGAAAAGAAAAAGAAAAAAAGGAACAAAACAACTGTAAGAAGATATTAAAAAAATCATGAAATAAGAGGGGATTAGTAATTTCGATTAGTGGTGACGATATAGTTGCTACAATGATAAATTATCAGTAATTATGAATTTTTACCAATCTGTATGAATTAGTAAATTTTACTTCAATATATTATTAACATGATTTGAAAAAATAACTTAATTATTCAATAAATTAAATGATGTTGCAGAATGATGCGTGGAAATTATTACAAACCAGACATTTAAACTAATAAAAATAAAGAAAAATTATTTTAGTTATTCTAATCCTAGTTGTTGTGAAATATTTTAAAATATTCATTATCTTTCGTGCATCCAATCTATCCATTTATCATTTTTTTTTTTTTTCTCCACAAAATCAACCTTCGAATAGTGTTATTGGTAATTATGAGCTAAACTACAATTATTTCATTATTATACCATTTTATAAATTATGACAATAATAAACCTGATATTAAATTATTCCAGGCACTAATTTACGCCAAATTATTCAAAACAAATATTAGCAGTTCAAAATAGTAGTAGTTGAAATTTAATAAAATATAGAAATAAATATTTCAAAATTGCTGGTATATTTTTTTAATTAAAAAAAATATTTGGAAAAGGAAAAAAAATATTTGAAAAAAAAAAGTTTTTTCTTTCTTTTCTGAAAAGATAAAAAAATGGAAAACATTGCATAAATTATAAACTAACGCATAATGTGTTGAAATTTCCACGGTCTATTGTTGTTGACATGATCGAAAATAATTACAATATATTTGAATTTAATAAACTCAAACCTTTTGCTGGCAAAATTCAACTGAAAATAGTTATCACTGATAATACAATATGTCAAATGATATTATCACAATTTCGATTTTGAGAAATTATTTGGCAGTAATGTGCAACAAATTGCAATTTTTACTACTTATCATTGTTAATATTTCTAAACTATTTCAATTTTTGTCAATTGTCATTATTAATACTATTATTGTTTTTGTTATTTATTATTATTTTATTTGGAAAACTTTGAATACTGAATATATTTCTTCATTGTAGCATAAATTTCACATCATTAAATGAGTAAAAATGATAAAATGGATATATCTAATTATTTGAGCACAAAAGGCGAGAGGTGTAAAGTTTATAAATGCTAAATAGAAATTGAAAAAAAAAAACAAACAAATTGATGGATAACGATAGCATATTTGCAGCTGCAAAGGAATATTATATTTTCAGCATTAAAATAAATTGTAATTTTAAACTAATATAGTTTTGCGAAAATTTATTAATCTTTTTGTTGTAGCAATCTTTTAATTTTTGAGAACTGATAGAAATTAGATTTCAATCATCTAATGCCCTATAATTAATGAATGAAAAATTAGTTAACAAGATGAAAATTGACCAAGTTTCATTAATATTACTTCATACTGAAAGCTCACTCATACGAAATGATTTATTGATAGAAATTATTTGGAAAAACAAGAGAGAGCTTGAAGTTTTCACTCTTTCCATTATCAAATACTTTAAACAAATTAATGAAAATGAAGACCTAAAAGTTATGAATAATCCAATACTGTTGAAAAATCTTCCAATTTTTAGCAATATTAAACTATTTTGTTTAATATTATTCAAAATTAATTGAAATATCGAGTTTGAAATGCCTTGGTTTGAATCATTACGAAATAAATATGTAAAGGACTATAATTTTGTAACATTCCCTAGTTTAAATTCCCAAAATCGCAATTATCTTCTTCAACATTCTAAACTTATAAACATCACGTATGATATCCGAATTTTACTCGTCAAGAGCTAATAGTGAAATAAATTCAAATTTAAATAAGAATAGGTGGGCGATGATTCAAGACTATTTTTCCCATTATATCGATAAAACGACACCGAAAAATTATTTTTATCCTACCTTTATTCGCCAGAATGCAGTATTTTCAGGTGTAATAACCGAGTTTTTTGTTTCCTGATTTCTAAATAATTAATGATCCATTCAAATTCGAGATCTCATTTGTCACATTAATGTGCAAAATTTAACGCCAAATTTCACTAAAGATCTTGTTATAACGTAATGTATTTTTAGTTCGTTTCTTGAAATTACATTTTAAAAAAGTTTTAAAAAAAAAGGAAAAAAATAAACGGAAGCAAAACTAGATTTAAATCTGAAAAGACAAATCTTCCCAGATATTGTAAATAAAGATGAAATGATTGATAAATTCCTTGGGTAGTAACGAACTTATAGATGACGTAAAAACAAATTACACTGCAGAATATTTTAGGAATGAAGGAAAATTAAATATGAACTAAGGAATTCCAAGAAAAGTTACCACCATGAGATCAAAATGAAAACGAGGTGCGACATTTCTCTTCAGAAATGCCCTCTGGGTCAATGATAACAGTTTTCGTATTTCCCTTTCTAGCTTTCAATTGTTTTCTTCATCCATCCATAATTTTTATCCTAATATTTATCAAAATTAAAGTTTTAAAATCTTCATCAAAATTTTCATCTTTATTAGGTAATTTATTTCAGTTTTAACGGTTTTAAAACTTCATCAAATTTTTCATCTTTACTAGGTAATTGATTTGAATTTAGCACATTTAATACAATTTAATTTAGCACATATTCATTTTTGACTTTGAAAATACTCAACTTCGAATATCTTATTTCAGATATTTCCACAATTTTGATCTTTGATTTGTCCCATTTACCCCTTACCTCCTCGAATAACGTTTATCATTTATCATTCTTTGGTAAAATGGTAAGTGCAACATTCAGGCTTTTCCAACTAAAGTTCAATTATGACTTTTATACGAAATGCCTTGTTCATTTGATTTTCTCGTCGGTCATTTTACATTTAAACTTTCATTTATAAGTTTAAAATTAGCATGCTAGCAATTAGAATGAATTTTCTTCTTTCAAAAACTAGTCTTTAGCAAAACTAAATTCTTTCTTTTTATACTTCCCATTCTTTGCGCATTTCTTTTAAAATTTATTTGTTAAAAGTTTTGATTATTATCAAAAGTAATCATTTGACTTGAAAATTCTCACACGTAACAAAATGAAAAAGTTCAATTTTTGTTTTTATTCATCCATTTTAGAACAATTTAGCCTTTTGCGGATGGGATGAAAAATATTCTTTGCTTTTGTTTAATCTCTAAATTCTCTTCATAATATCATTTCATTTTTAATTTCTTCATTGTTTCGGTTTCGAATTTATTTTGTAATCATTATGGTCATAGAAGTTCAATTGGCAAAATTGTTAAATTGTTAATAATTTAGTTCTATTACTGGCCAAGTGGATATTTTAGATTGTTTTGATATTGTATTACTTGTTTTATACGGAATATGCTTACAAATGCCTATTTCCGCATTGAAAATCCATCCATGAAATGGGTACTAAATTAGCAACTTTAATTAATACGAAATTGCTATTCTCATAAAATGATACAAAATTTGTATTTGAAAAAAAAATGAAAAAATGAAAAGTTCTTTAAGACAAATTATCCAAATAATATGATATAAAATTCTTTATTAGTTGAATTAGAACGGATTTTCATTCGTATTTCACAACATCTAAAACATTTTAGTCTTTATAATAACTGCAGTGAAAAAAATTCGAAACGTCCAAAAATTTTTTGGAAATTTTCGCAGTTATAAATATACAAAAACCTGTAGAAATACGTAAAAATTCCGAAACAACCTGAATCAGTTAACGTGCTGCGTTTCCCTTAACTCCTGACCTTTGCTCTTTCCTTTAAGTGGTACCCTACTCCTAACAGAATTCACTAACTAACAATATAGTGATGCCAGTAAAAAAAAAAGAAAACAAAAAAGGATAGGAAGATAGGTAAGATAAAGATATGGAGCATTATTAGTGGGGAGATATTATTTCAAATGACAATAACGATCCGTCACTTAATTATTAATTTCTCATGTAATGTATAGCTTGTTACGATGACATTACTTCGAGGGATTTCATTCATTTCCTTAGATGTATCGAAATTTGCATATTTGTAGGAAGCGTAATTTCATTATACGAGCCACGTTCTTTGGATCACAAGGTGGAATTCTTTCGAATTTTACTAAACTTCCTTGAAGACATCGATTCATTCTCCAAAAAGTGGATGACAATAGTTGACTGAATAATGAAGTGAATGAAAATGACATTGATTTTCTATCAATAAAATTGATAATTTTTGAATAATTAAATCTGGTTACTGCGCATGTTTATGTTCTATAATTTACATTTAAAGCTTCCGAAAATTTTATAAACAAAGGGACTGCCAGTGATAAGGTAAGATAGACATGATAGAATTCCCGTAATTCATTTTGTTTCAGATTATCTTGTTACAATTAGTGGTAACTGATCCGCTCACAATTCTCTAACAAAATTTGACAAAAAAATTTCGAAATCTTCGCTTATTGTCAGCGAAAGCAACGTTTCCTCGACACAATCAATTGACGTACTTTCATCGCTGGCCACATTAATCAAAAGCCTAGTTATGGCTGTGCCTTCAGGACACAAAAATTGGCTGCTTAGTTTGCATATTTTTCATGATATTCGACACTTCAAATGAATCATCCGCTTTTACACATTATCAAATATTCATCACATCTTCATAACAATGCCTTCATGACTCTAACTGCTGACAAAACAATTGAATCACTTGTCGAAATTCATCTGAACTATGTCTATGAAACAGTCAATCAATAACAAAAATCAATCGTTCTCCTCGGAGAGAACTTCCGTAACTGGATTTTCTCCACCAAATTTTCGAAAACCAACAATGGCATATACAGGACCGGTGTAGAAATCAAACTTTGTTTCAACCTGATAGTCAACTCCAGTCAACGATGATTCATCAAGTAAACGTAACGTACTCAGCGGAATGTCTGGGAATGTATGACTGCAAACAAAAATGATATTCATAGTCTTATCAGATCAGAGAAAAGACAAAGCCAGCAGGATCGTTTACCCTGTCCACTTTTGCTGTGATATTTCCGCAGTACACTAATATGTGATTCTGGAAAGTGATCATGAATGTCCCATTGAATGTTCTTAATACCCTACCTGAATATTTCTTCGCTATCCTCCGGTTCAGTGCCATTGACCACAGTAAAATGAAAGGCTATTACTTGATGACTGTTAAAGAAGAGTAATTCCTTCTGCAGAAAAAGGATAATTTTACACATTTAGTAAAGTTATAACGAGCATATTTTTGATAAATATTGAGAACACGTGAAACCACGTAAAAAAGCAATCAAACCTCAAAAGTTTAAAGAATTAACAAGCTTCTAACGAGAAAATGACTCCACAAACGATTACGAATTAACTGAAGTAAATTAAAAAACAATTAAAGCGAACAAACAAATCAAACCTTCCATTTCTTAAATTTTGTTTTCAAAATATCGCTGGTATCATTTTTTTCTACTAAAAGAGTCGATGCTTTTACGTCAGATCCGTAGAAGGCCAAAATATTGCCTTGCACCTCCTCGGGATTGTTGTGTATACTGAAACTGAGATATTTGTTGCAATATTAAAATATTCATCGTCTATCCATAATTATTATAGCATTTGCCCTATTTCGGAAACTGTCAAGAAGGACATTTTTGTTCGACACCGAATTAATATTCATCCTATCAAAACATTCTATGGATGAATATTGCTGTAATCAACTCTTTTCTGTATCACTTTATTCTAGACTGATCTGCTAGCCAAGAAACAATCAAGTTTGACTTACGCATTCTCCCGATTATCCGATTGAGCAACAACGCAAATTGGTGCGCTAACAATTTTCTTTCGAATTTCATTTTTCACATTCAGTGCTTCGCTTTCAGCCCTTTCATGAATGTATTTGAGATCGTTACTAATCACAATGACCAACTTCACTTCACCCTGGGATTCATCATTATCTTATTAGGTTCCGAAGATCATACTTCTAATAAGTTCTAGGAATGAAATCTTATGCAATTCATTTTGCTATAAATATAATACTTCGGAATGTCACATACTGATGCATTAAGCTTTAACTAACTCACTTCATAAGTTTCCAGAGAATTGACATTTGATATAGGAATTTTTATAAATTCCCTGAAAAAATTATTGCAGTTAAGGACAAACATAACAATAACCAGTATACCCATTGGATATTAAATATTCGGTAGAGTTTTGCATTGTTCTTTTCGGGCAGAATGAATTACATTCTCGGTTAAATCCAATTCTAATTGTATTCCCTAATTAAATTTTGTTTTTTTCTCATATTTAATTACTGATGCAAAGTTTGGGACAGAAATCACTGCAATATTTGTGCCAGAACGATTAAATCTCAACATTGAACGACTTTGGCATAATTTGATAATGATTAAAGTTTGCTTCTGTTAATATAAAAGATGACTAACAAATCGTCGGCTCGCCAGAAAGAAAAGCTCTTGTACGAGAATACATATAAATCGTATGGGATAATCACTCCGTTCATTGGACTTCCTTCTATTTCATGTGGGTGAAATGGGTCATTTACTGAAATTGCATAATTAGAACTATTTGTTCGTTTAATAGTGGTTTAATGCCATTCCTTAATTGTTTCAATAAGATTATGATGCAAAAATTCATTATAACTTTCCAACCTAATACGAATTCCATGAGTCCTTCTAGATGATCTTTGTGAGATGTGATTATCAACACTGAACAAGGACAGTCCGCCGCGGCTATGACTTTGATCGGTTTTTCACCACCAAACAAAATAGCTTGATCTGGTGTCCAGTGATGCATCACGAAGGGTTTTCGGTGCTAAAGTTTGAATTTGCATCATTACGTCATCAAATCTTCGTCTCTTATAAGTTCTACCTGAATTATAGTTTCTGATTTCTGATAGGAGCAAAGAATGGACCATGCCTGATCATCGGTGAGGTTCGTCTCAGATATGAGTTTCAAAGCATTCTTTAAATATTCCGGGGTTATTTCACCATCCCGGTAATGCAGTATTCTATATCGACGGTTTAACTCGTAGTTTGCATATTCAGACATCTCGGAGATTGCGCTGTAAGAAGATATGAAAAAATAATCCATTATTATTACCAATCAATTTCTTACAACTTATTAATTCATTTCAATTTCCCTTATCTCCTTCAGCTACTAATAATTGAAATCACTAAATTTGGCGGATGTGATTTTTCGACCTTATGGAATATCTATACCGTAATAATATATAAGTGAAAGAAAACTACTAACGCCATATTTTCTAAATCTTCGTTAGGCAAGTTGCGAACAATTCGATTACCCTCTACTCCAAAAACGAGGCATAATTTATTTGTTCTTCCTGAAATTTCAATTAAATCATCACTGAAGTTCTTGTTCTACACATATTTAAACAGAAAATGCAAATTCATTCAAATCTCCTAATTACGTACAGTGCATCACTTAAAAATAGCTCATTTAAATTTGAAATTTGAAAATTCAGAAAATCTACCTGTTGTTAATGTGATATTGGATGATACCACATAGCTAAAAATGGTTGTGAGGATGGCAAGATATTTAAAATCCATTACGATCATGAGCTGTAGATTATAAGTATATGATGACTAATCAATGCTATGAAACGAGTAGAAGAAATCGTAGAAACGAATTTGGTGAGGAGAGAGGCAATTTGTGACAGTAGACTGAATTCTGAACGAAAATATTGTTCTATTGTAGCGAAAAGATCGAATTGGTCAATGATCAGAAAAATTCAGAAAAAATCGAAATTAATCTCAGTTTTTTTTGCATTGAATAGCAATGTATTGTAAAACAGAAAGTGTTTCATGCAGATTATGCAAGAAAAGCAAATAATACTGTCATAAACAGTTTTTCTATAGGAATTGAGATTAACATAATATTTCGTGTCAATGGAAGCCTTCCATCGAATTATCACAAACAGTTTTGCTATAGAAATTGGGATTAAAAGAATATTTCGTGTTAGTAGAAGCCTTCCATTGAATTACATAAATTTGCATTTGTGTCAGAAATAGAAGCATCCAAAAATAAGCTGGACCATCGATTGTCATTATTCTGCACTCAGGGAAAGTTGTAGAATTTGCACTATTTTTTATTATTTATGTTTTTTGTATTTTAATATAAAATTGCAACCTCTAAGTTTTTCGAACTGCCAGGACGATGAATCGGGAATTTTTGTCCGAAACTGAAAAAGACAATCAGTATTCTGCTGAGAATTGAAATGGAATGCTTTTTCAGAAAATGTATGACATTGATGAGTAAGCAACCTGCGATAAACAGATTCCATACAATTTTTCCATCAATGGCAGAAGGCTGGTCGAATTCTCGATGTTACCTTTCAACTATTACTCGTTTTACTGACATTTTTGCACACGAATGTTTTTAAATTACTATCTCAAAATGTTAAGCGTGCAAATTTTATAAATTAGTTTACGTGTTTACCTGCTGACTTCTTCCACACTCTTATTGTTAGATTTGAAGCAGAAAGTTTCAGCGAGTTACAATTCTTCGTTAATCATGTTTTGCGACAAACTGCTGAGATCCATATATGAATGGTTGAGAGACTTCTCTAAGTCTGCTTCTTATCAGCGGAACCAAAAAAGAAAACGAATTTGAGTTGGATCAACTTGATATTGGATCTGTTTCCCAACACAATACTTAGTTAGTCGGGACTGTTTCTTTAGTTTTATCAAAGTTACAATTATCTTTGATAATCAGAACTCAAGTAGATTGGTTGTATTTTGGGTCGAAAAAATACAAAAAGATACTTAATGGATAACAGCACAAAAATTCTTCCTCTTATCAACTTCATTGTCACTTTTTTCTAAATTTGGAAAAGGAAGATAATTTCTTCTTCGAACAACCCTTCTATCACTTTTTCTTTTTCTTTCGAATTTTCATTTTTCGACTTTCTTTTCTAATTTATATGTTTTTCCAAATTCTGTATTGTTCTTCCTTCTTGTATTTTATAATATTTTTGTTTAGTTTCTATACACTTTTACTAATTTTTTTGAAATAAATAAATTAAATTTATTTTCTGAAATAAGTATCTCATCTATTCTATTTTTCAACATATTTAATTTACTAATTGATAATTATATAGTTAAAAAATTGTTGCAATAAGTGTGATCACTTTTAAAATTTACAAATGTACGAGATTTTCATTATGATTTAAATTATTCTTTGGAATTAGTTTTAATTCTGGAGTAGCAGCGTAATTTTCTAAATTTAATCAAAATATAAAGTTTTTCAATAACAGTTTCGGAACTGAGAATACTTTTCAATTTACATATCTTGCATGATAATTAATATTTGCAAATTAACAGTTCTTTCATCACATTTTACAACAAAGGTTTTATGGTACTAATTGCCAACAGATCGATTGAATTGTCTCTTAAAGTCATACCTGATATATGAACACAGGTAGTCAGAGAATATTATCCGTTTTATTAAAGTAACAAAAATACTATATCTGTGATTCAATGAAACTATTAATTAATAATAAAACCAATTATTCCTCAGCGTTGATCGGATCCTCATAATCGAATTTCTGTAAACCAGCAATTGCATGTGCACGATCGGTGTCGAAACAACACTCTGTCTCTTAACGATGGAGACATAATCTACCTGAATGACCGGTAATGTCATACTGCGAAGAAAAAAAATTGTTAACGAAAAGTTATCAAAATTAGCGTTGATGCATTCAAAAACTAAGGGATATTTTGTGATAGTAGAAGCCTTTCATTAAATTTCATAAATTTTTTTTCCACAAAAATTAAAACCAGTCCGAATTGGCTTCAGGTGAAACATCACTAAAGTGTTTTCACAGCAATGCAATAACACCGAAGTTACAAAATGGAAAATTAAATTTTATATTGGAATATATATATTCAAATATTTCACACATCAGAAAATCTTATAAGCCAATATAATATAAGCTCACGAAATGCCCAACTAGCATTCTAATTGTTATTAGTTTTTTACTTAGCATTTTATTAAAAAGGCCTTAATAAAATGTCAAGCTTGTTTGAGATTATTAACTTCATGCAAAATATTCAAATTTGAAGGTATTTTCAGTACATTATTGACAAACTGACAGACTGAATAAGTAGCCAATTTCTGGCTTCCCTAGCACATTTGTAATTACGTTAATTAATGTAGCCATCGATATTTTTTATATCAGTATTTTTCAACTTCAATAGAAACTTCCGAATTATTTTCTGAATTGTTTCAATTTTTTAATTTATGATTTTTTTTTCTCATCACTTTTCTTTTGTTACAGTATATTTTGCTCCAGTTGATTATTATTGTCATATATCAACAATATATAATCTTTGGCAAATCTGTTCATTACATGCTTTCTTGTTAACCTCGTTTATATTACCTGCGTTTGCTTTATTAATTCTGATCTGCATGTGAAATCAATTCTACATATTACAAATTAGTTTTGCTTATCATTTATTGTAGTCACCTTCTAATGATTGCAGTTTCAATAATTTTAATTTACTTCATTTAATGTGTACTGACAAATAAGAAATATAAAATATCTGATCGTATGCTGCAGAAATTGGATTACCATGGATTAACAATTCTGTTGGCTGAATCGAATTCTCAGGTTTAATTTGCCTAATTAGACTTTAAATTCAATAAGCTTATTCAATAAGATTTTTCTCGTTATTTGTGAGTTTCATGAAATACGAATGAATTAGCATATTTTAAATTACAATAAATAAGGTAAAAGCAATGATTATAATACATTAATAGTGGGAGATTTCACAAAATTGTTATTGTTTATCATTAACAATCATTTCATTATCTTTATAATATGCTACCAGTAAAAAAACTCTAATTATTACTGTTTAATAAAATCATTTCAAATGATTTATAGTTGTTCAACTTCTTTATTTTTTATTTATTAAAGATAACATTTTTCAATGGCTAAGGAAGTTTAAATTTTTAAAAAAATCTTTTTTTTTATTCAACTAACTTTATCTCGTGAATACTGTTTGTAAGTAGTAGCCTGTATTGATATTATTTCGAATTTGAAACACCGTATGATGGTTCG